ATATATATATATGATTTATTTGTGTGTACATGCTGTAGGATGTGCACAAATAATAATAACCGACACCCAGATTTTTTAGTCTTGAGGCATGAAAAAAAAAACGGCAGTTGATCGCAACACGTAAGGGTCCATTGTAGTGGTTGATGCACAACTTTGACATAACGATGAATATATATAAGAGAAAACAACATTTGAATAGCTGTCCACTCTCATAACCGCTGTCCCTGAGAGGGTTAAATTTGTTTCATGTTCTGTGAAAATTGGCATTAAAAACCATGAATTTACAGTGAATATTCCCATCTACCGAGTTCTTTCAAACAGAAATCTCCTCAACCGGACTAAAAACCCAAACATTAAAATTTCGACTACGATGTTACATTAACGATCAATTCAGAACAACGGAATTTCCACTACCCGGAACCCGGAAGCCATATAGAAGCACACAGTGGCGCAAACACTAGCAAGTCCTGCTCGAGACTACGGAATAACTCTGTCCGCGCCGCTATTCACTCTCATTGGATACAAAACGGCAACATGGAAGTGACTCTATTAGCATGAGTTTTACTGCAATAGTGAACGATTTTTATTTCGTTAACAGCTCCTAGTTTCCTGAGCACAACATACTCATAGCTGTTCTGCCATTGGCTTACCGAGCTTCATCCTGCCCTCCGATTGGCCAAGAGGGACCTCGCTATCTATGTGTGTAGACACTGTAGCTAGATCCGTGGAAGATAGATGCATCCGATTAGCTGCTCAGAGTAAATTGCTTGTGGCTCGACAGATAGTCGGGTAAACGAAGGTTTCCTGGAATGCTTTACTTGTTATCATGCTAAAAACCTTACGCGAACTGGAGCGTTAATGAGAGAGAAGGCGAGTTCCATCGCGCTATGGCCATCGAGGACTTTGAAGCGTCCCATGGCTAGCTTTAAAAGTTCATTGCATGACATCAGCTGCGCAGCGCTGTCTTGGGTGGCGAACGAGGGGAGGTCGAGTTCGAGACAGTGAGATAGTGGAAAGAAAAGCCACCAGGTCTGTTACTCATTTCATTTTAGAGCATATAGTCCTAAATTTGTAACACTGTATTTTGTTCATATACCTGGACAGTATACTGTACTGCAGCTTTTGTGTTGTAAACAGTGTTTGGAGCATATATTTTTGCATTTCATTGCTTGTGTTGTTACACATGTATTTTGCTCACATACTTGCATGTTCATTAAGGACATGTACCATGCTCATTTCCCACATCAGGAAATTCTTTTATGAGGAAGGATTGGACAGCACAAACGTGATTCCGTACTTGAGAATATTGACTGTATATTTGCTGATACCTGCAGATACACTGATTCGTGTTTCCGTGCGGCCTTGTTCTCCAAGTGCTAAAAAATATTTTTGTGATTTTTTTTTTTTTTTTTTTTTAATTTGGGATGAAAATAACACCCAGGTTTTCCACTCATGATTAGGGGTTTAAGAGGATATTTATTGTACTTTGATTCAAAGCTTCTCTCCCTGGGCCTCAGTTAAGACTTCGGTTTTGTCCTGGTTAAACTGGAGAAAGCTCTCTGACATTCAGGATTTGATGTCTAAAATGAAGTTAAAGTGTGGCCATTGGACTGATATAGTGAATTGAACAGAGTGCATCAGCAGAACTTTGTGCTAGCTGATGACACTGGCAAGAGGAAGCAACCCCAGTCTCCCGTACACCATATATATATATATATATATATATATATAGCGTACGGGAGACGGTGGTTCGAATCCCGCTTGGGGCAAAAATGCGCACATAACACCATCCAGTGTGGGTCCTTGGGCAAGACCCTTCATGCCACTGCCTACCTCATACAATGATGAGAGACAATAAAACGAATGACATGCCAGCTCATGGAAAAGACGGTTGGAGGCTAAGATCAAGGCGGCTCGGAAAGATTAGAGTTGCACAGTAATTCATTGAAAGTAACTACAAACCAAAAATCAAGGACTCCCGGCACAGTGGTACCGATCCTTACGAACGTCTCTTCACACGAAATGTTCAAGTTACGAAACGCCTCAGCAGGAAAATATTGCCTCTTGTTACGAAAGAAATTTCAAAATAATAAAAGTGTGGGCCGCTACTCGCAGCTCAGCGTTTCCTGAACACAACATACTTATAGCTGCTCTGCCATTGGCTACTAACGGGCATCATCCCTGCATCCCATTGGCTAAGAGGGACTTCTCCCTTTCCATTCGCCCCCGGGTCCATGAGACATTTCGATAGTCTTATGAAAATGTGAATCACCAGTCGGGCGATCGCTCACGATGCTGATGTTTGCCTTTTCAAACATTTTCCAAGGATTGTTCAAAGCCAACAAAAGCAAACATCCTTGGATCGGTTCTTTACAAAACGCCAGGCAAAAAACACTTCTGAGAGAGAACATGGAGAGCAAAAAACGATGAGGAGGCAGTTAAAAGTTAAATGACCACAATATTTATTCTTTGTTTTTTTCCATGATGCACAACTGTCATTTATTGTGCAATAATCTAATTGTAACTTGACATATTTCGATGCATGTCTGAATGTTGGGGTTTTGGAACAGATTAGGGCATTTACATGGAAAACACATCTCTACTTACAAACATTTCTCGTGAAGAAATTTCTTCCAGAACCAATTAATTACATACGTAGAGGTACCCCTGTACTTAACTCCCTGTTTATAAATCGCAATCACAGCAGCATCACGGTTACTTGATTTTGTTCAGGTAAAGGCCGAGGAAGAAAGAGAACGGCATCTGGCTCTGAGGATGATGATTATTATCCAGCAAAGAAAATGGCAAAACTGGTTTGCAGGGTGAGTATCTGATACCATGTTTAGAATATTTACAATTCTGCAAGAATGTGACTGACGGTTTTAATCACACAGCGACAATACCCAAAGTTTTAGAATGGCCATCTTTAAGTATCCTCAAGTTGAATTCATGCATCCGTAATTTCAGTGTTGGTCTTTATTTCTGTGATTGGGAACAGAAGTCTCACAATCCTTCATCCAATGACGAAAACGACAGCAACAGTCAGGGTGCCATGAACACGAGATTCCGGCCGCGCCGCGCCAAGAAGGACATCAAATACTTTGCAGAGTCTGACGATTGTGATGACATGTTCGACGAAATCTACTTTTGACTTCCCACAGAATTTGTACATCTCCTCTTTACATTTTATTGTGTTCATGGGATTGTTTTGTTTTTTGAACGTGTAGTTTGAAAATGTTGACAAATGTCCTTTTTTCATGTTAATAGAAAGGTTCTGTATTTGTCTAAGTTAGCTTTTAGAAGTTTAGAAAAGCTTTTGTTCAAGGATAATGTAACTTTTTGAACGTGTTAAGAGTAAACAAGAAATGCGTCACCTTCGTTTCAGATTATTCATGACAAAAATTA